AACTTTTAAATAGTTGATTTGATATTAGCATTGACATTTTTTTTTCAAATTTATATTTTATTCATAAATAAAATCATTATTGATTTATTAAAAACACATAAAATCGTATTATAACATCGACATAGACAAATAATAAAATAGAACAATTAAAATCGAGATGTATCTCGCTGCATTGCGTGAATACCCTTTCCAGTATAAAAACAAGGTACATACTTCTATTGGTAAAGGAGTTGGATGACTCTATGCAAATACAAAATATGTCTTGGTTTTGATCTCATACCTCGTGTTAGTTTTAGCTGTTGAGTGAGCCAAAACATGCCTCCACGCATCAGTATTATTGGAGGCAAGTTTCGTATGGGACTGATCAGGATTGTCGTTAATCAACTTTTTATTTAAAGATGAGTTTGACTTTCAAAATTTCGTTTTATTGTTTATAAAATAAATAAAATTATAAAAATAGAAAGATTTTGTATATTACTGCTTTTACGTATTGCTCCCATACTTGTATTTTTGAAAAATTAAGAGTTATCAATATATATATATATATATATATATATACTAGAAGCGTACTCGTGCAATGCAGCGAGATACATCGTGTTTTTAATATTTCATTTTATTATTTATCTCAATCGATGTTATAATATGGCTTTATGTAATTTTAAGAAAGCGATTATGTTTTTATTTTTGAATAAAATATAAATTTAAAAATATACCCAAAATAGGAATCAAGCTAAGTCATGCAATTTACCCAATTAAAATAATAAAATATATGTTTTTTTTATAATATGTTTAATTAAATATCAATTATATTAAAATAATTTACTTTTTTGAAAATTGAGATAAGTGTGTTGTTTTCCAAATTATGATTTGTTCATTTATACTATATTATAAAGTAATTGATAAAAACTTTTAAAAATAACTTTTTATACATAAAGTACTGTTTATTTATGCATGTTACTTACAATTCAATATTACAAGTAGATTGTGCGTAACTACAAATTATTAAAGCATCATATCTGAATTCATGTAATTAAATGCGGATAAACATAATCAAATACAAGATAAACATCTCATTTTAAATATAA